GTATCTATATATCTATATATATATATATATATATATATATATATATATATATATATATATATATATATATATATCAGTTTGTTAATATTCATCTATCGATTTATTCATCTATGCCTTTTTATATATATATATATATATATATATATATATATACTTGCTCATATATTACTGCCTTTTATATATATATATATATATATATATATATATATATATATATATATATATATATATATATATATATATATATACCTGCTCACATTTCTGTACCTTGGTTTTGTCCTTTTTGTTTTAGATCCACTACTAAGAAAAAATAAGAATTTTGTCTGGGGAGCAACACATAATCAGAGGTTTAGCCACCGTGAACTCACAGAGACAACATTACCTTTAGAAGTTCATGAAACCGGAACTAATTCTTCCCAATAGGCAGAGGGTGGTCTTTGTTACTCGGCGCTAATTTTCTGCCCCGGTGGAGCTGATAGTTCTTCAAAGAAGCCGTGTGTACACAAAAAGCAAGATGTCTGTCCATTCGATAACTATTTGATTTTTTAAATATTCTGTCTCTAAGCAATTCCTATAATATTTATTAGATTTTTTTGTTTTTTTTTATTTCTGTGAATTATTTTAGTCTTTCTTATCTCTTTATAAATAACATAGTCCCTTTATGTTTGGACTTCTCTCTCTCTCTCAATATATATATATATATATATATATATATATATATATATATATATATATATATATATATATATATATATATATTATCTTCTCTCCCTCTCTTCTATGTTCAACCGGTTGGGATTTCAGAGTTATCTCGTAGACTGGTTTACAACCAAGGCTTGACCAAACACACAGACTGGGTGCAATGAATAAATTGGCGCCGTTTTATATATTTCATTTCACGCATACGCCTTGTTTGGGATTTTGTCGGCTGCACTGTATATTAGAGACAGTCGGGCGTCGTCTATGTGGAAAAAAACCACCATGCCGTAATTCGCACCGACAAAAAAATTGTCCTCATCCATAATGGGGACCAGTGGATTAAAAACACCAATGCCAACTTTGACATTACCATGGGATCTCTGGACTCTGCAGAATCTTCGGACCTTGTAGATCTATTTATACTGTACAATCTAACCGCCCACCGTAAACTAGACATTGAGGACATCGGGCTATACAGAAATGACGGGCTCATGGCAGTGAGGAGCTCCACAAATTTTAAAACAGAGAAAATTAGAAGGATAATTTATAAAGAATTCGGAAAACTGAATTTAAAAACAATAGTCAACACTAAATTAAAAAGAGTAAACTTCCTAGACGTAACCCTAGAATTAACGAACAACGTTCACCTACCTTACAGAAACCCTAATACTAATCCCCTGTATGTACACCCTAAGTCAAACCACCCTCCATCTATAATTAAGCATATAACCACATCAATAGAGAAAAGAATAAGTATGAACTCAGTAAATAAGGAAATATTCCGACAACACAGTAGTTTTTATAACACAACCCTGAAAAATAGCGGATACAAAAACGCTGACATAACCTATAGAAACGATAGTACCAATAATAAGAAAAACAGGAAAAGAAAGATCATCTGGTATACCTCTCCGTACAACCAACTGGTCAGCACCAAACTAGGCCATAAGATCCTAGCTTTAATTGAAAAGCACTAAAAGCAAACTTAGCGAGATCTTTAACAAAAACACCTTAAAATTGAGTTACAATTGCACTGAAAATCTAGAAAGAATCATAAAATGACATAATAAGAAAATCCTAGAAAAACACGCATACCAAAACAGTAATAAAACCCATAAACTAAAATTAGATGAAAATAACGAAAAATTATGTGATTGTAGAAACCCTAAAAACTGCCCGTTGGAAAATAAATGCCTCACAAAATCTGTAGTATACCAATGCACTATCTCATCCATTGAGAGTCCTAAAACTGATAGGATATACATAGGCTCAACGAAGAATAATTTTAAAATTGGATGGAGGCAACACAAGAGCTCCTTCAACAATATTCAAAACAAAATAGAAATCAGACATATCTATCCCAATATTTCTGTCATCTAAAAGAAACGAATAAAACACCAAAAGTAAAATGGAAAATAGTAAATAAAACAAGAACTTGTAAAACCTGGGATACCCTTTATGCCTACACGAAAAACTACACATCATTAAATTTCTAAATAATGAAAAATTATTAAACCATAGGCAGGAGTTAACGGTTTTTTGCCGACATCAACAAACTTTTGCATTAAATAATTAGCATTTAAAAAAAAAATAAAAAATAAATTCCCATAGCTTAATAAAAGTCTTAAAAGCTTAGCCAAATTATTAAATAGTAAAAACACTTTCTGTAGTCGTCAAAAAACAAAAAAAAACAAATTGAAATTAAGTAAAATACGGTTTGTATATAAAACACCCACTTGAATAAACAAATAAATAAATAGATAATCAGATGGACAATAATAAAACAAAATCCCCTCGACACATAACGTCTTGTAGGCGCGCCATAAAATATCCCTCACTGGGAACCAACTAAAGGATGACCGCAAACATTAGCCTTGAAATAGATACCCTACCCAACCTTAGCAAAACCTCTCAGAAGATGATGAATCTATTGATAAGAATTAATTCTCTGACCACTTAACGAAGAAAAATAGTATAGCCACTCCCACAATAACGAATGTTGTAACGGACCATGCCTAAAAATACACGTAAACCGAGAGATAGCTTATTCCTAAAATTTCGCTTGAAAATGAAACGGGACTAAACACCTTAATTCAACTTAATTTTAATAATTACTTGGATAGTTTCGGCTCTCGTTTTTGAAACATGAGAACTCTTATGTAGCGAAGCAATCATATTTTTAAACAAAAATACTATTATATATATATATATATATATATATATATATATATATATATATATATTGATTTTATGCATTCTGAAGAGATAAGTTAGCTCATATAATAATAGATCTGCAGAAAAATTGTGATCTGTAGAAAAATTATGACGTAATGTAGATTTTTAAACGTTTGTTAATAGTTGGTGCTGTTGCTGTAAATATATTTTCCAAATATTTTCTCTTCAAAGAGTTATGTTCTTATGTTTCATAAAGCTGACATTGATGAAAGTGAAGTTATGTGCTATGGTGTTGCGAAGTAATACGAGAGAATATAAATGTTTATCTAAACGCAAATTCATAAATGCATGTTTCATTAAATAACATAGACAAGTTTGTCTATTTATTTTAAGTCAGTTTCTTTCATATTGTCTGAAAAGCGTAATAACATTATCATTGAAAGACGAAACGAAATCACCATACTGATACATGTTACTGGATTAAGTAATATTTATATTGGTCACACCACAAACTCACTTTCACGACGCTTGACTCTACATTTGAATAATAATTCTAACATATTTAGGGATTTAAAACAACATGCCTGGCTGCGAAAACAATTCCGGAAAATCCTAGTTGAAAACAAAACTAAATTAAAAATGAAAACAATAAACAAAAACTAAAAATTCTTGAAGCTATATACATAAAATAGTTGAAAGCTAACCTGAACAAAACAAAGCACGAAATCTCCACAAATATCATTAAAAGCCTATAATTGATAACAGAAGCCATTGGTCAATACCAACGGCTTGCCATACTTAATATTTCTCGTTTTCACTCATGCGTGGTCATGTGTGACGTCACGAGCTGCGACGCTATTTCCGCTTCCGCGTCTCGTATACACTAGTTAGTCGTTGCTTTGAAATTTTCATGCAACAACAACAGACTATCATTATTGTTTCGTCCGTGTATTGGTTGATATATGGAAAAGTAACTGCCATCTTTGATAATGGGTTATGTAAGCCGAAAGCTTAGATTGGATTTAAACATGTATCAATATGGTGATTTCCTTTCGTCTTTCAATGAAAATGTTATTAAACTTATCAGACAATATGAAAGGAACTTACTTAAAATAGACAAAACTTGTATATATTATTTAATGAAACATGAAATTAATATATATATATATATATATATATATATATATATATATATATATATATATGAGAGAGAGAGAGAGAGAGAGAGATTAACGTGGGAAAATAACTCGATTCATAAGAAAATAAATTAATAGATCTTTTGAAAAAAAACGCGACAGACAAGCGTTCAGATTGTGATTGAAAATACATAGACTTGATATGGAGGAGCTAAGAAAGTAAGAAATCCAGGTAGATGACAAGACAGAGATAAAACTAGATATATATATATTTTTTTGCAAGACGGAAACATACAACGAACACCGTTATATGCAACATCAATCAACCCAAAATTCAATTACATTGACTAGGAAAAATGCGACTTTTCCCTGCTGTTTCGCATAAAATTATTCACTTACCGTGATACCTTTCTGAAAGTACCTGGACAAACTCGATTTATTTAGCGCGAAACATTATAAAGACTGACAGTAATGAAGGTTGCCACGCCCTTAATATGTATTTCGGTTTCCGCAAGATTAAACCTACAGGTAATATAGATGGATTTTAGATCGGGTATACAGTGAACAGATAAAACTAAAATAAAGGAGGGTATCAACAGTACTTAGGCTCAATATAAAACACTATTTTCCTCAGTGGATGTGCTGGTAGCCAAACGTTTATTGGTGTGGAAAAGGAAGTGGGTAAACCGATTTCAAATTCCAGCCTCGGGTATTAAGCTCTTTTTTTGGCCCAGCTATTGCTTAAATAACCGAGTCGAGTGGCTTAACTAGACTTCGTTGTCTGCCAGACTAGAAGGCCAGGTCTGAATTTAAATTCAAAGGGTAAACAGTCTACTATCGTTCCCGAGAAATTACGACAATATACGGATAATAAAAGAAAAATAATCTGTTGAGAGGCAATATCGCCCACGACCGAAAGGGTCATGCCATCAATATTATTTCTTGAAAATTTGCTCAGACCTGTACTCTTGGACACAAATGATGGCGGCTTATGGCTATATCACTCTTAAACACCGTTTCTCATACGATCACTGAAGTTAAGCAACGTCGAACCTGGTCACTATCTAGATGGCTGACCGCATTGGAATACCAGGTGCCGTATGTTAAGATATACGGATTTGGATAATGATTCCAAATTTTGAATCAGGGAACCGAGTTTTAATTCCAATCGAGTTCATTGTATTAAGTTGCGAGCAATCCATTGGGAAAGGTTTAATTTCAACTCTTCTCCACCCAGCTATGTGTTAATTAGTAAGATTGGTATCACTGAAACATTTTTATCTCCCCAAAAAATTACATAGAAAATATTTAAATTTCGTCATTCAATACGCCATAAAGATTTTAAAAAAAAAACAGCCTACCAATAACATCTTGTTGGCGGCGACGACGTAGGCTTTATTTCGTATCAAAGAATTTCATCTCTTCCTTTCTGAACGTTTTCTTTATGATGATGGCGTTGATGATTAAATTCACCTCTAAGATGCAGGTTCGAGTCTAAAAGCCTCTTGTTTCAATAACACCTGCTTCCATCATCCCTTCCCTATCGCCGTCTAGTTTTGAAAGTGTGGGTTGGAGGTGAAAGAAAATCAGAGTAGCAGAAAGTTTCGACGACGTGAATTTGATTAAGTTGGCCATTAATTAGCCAGAAAGTGACCGACACACTTGATTTCATGACATTTCTCTGCAGCATATATGGAAAATTGTTGGCGTAATACTGTCAGATTAGTAAATGGTCTAAATGAATAAGTGAATGTGACGTTCCATCTTATACAATGGAGACAGTTTTTTTTTTTTTTTTTTATGAAACTGACTACGAACGTAGTGAAATCTCTTACAGAATAATTTGGGTTAGTGTTGACAGAAAGACGGTGGGGTATATTTTCCGAGAAGGGTACCCTTTTTTCCTTATGCAAAAATTATTTTTAATAGATATCATAAACGTTCAGAATCTGACATCTCCAAAAACGGCCGAAATTCCAATTTTAGGATTTGAATCTCTATGGCATCACATTTGCTCTCGCCTGGCTCTTTCATAAAAATTTTGCCCTGTTAGAGCTGCCTCAAATAAACATACTTGTAGAGCAATGGTTCTCTAACTTTTTTTAGCAACTACTTTTTCTCTTAATTCGTTTAATGGCCCCCATAAACATTCGATGAAAAAAAAAAAGATTTTTTTTTTACTAATAGGTAATTTTAGGAATTGTATTATAGAAATAGTAAATGTATATTCATTATTGTAAAGTAAAACTAATTTAATGAAAATAAACTTGAATTAAACATCTAAATTCTATGGAAGATTGATGTACACTCGTAAAATAGCTCATAAAACATTTGTGTCTCCCATAAGCAGTCGATAAAAAGAAATATATTTTTACTAATAGATAGGGTTAGGAATTGTATTATAGAAATAAATATATATTCTTTATTTTGAAGTAAAACTAATTTAATGAAAATAAACGTGTATTTATCATGTAAATTCTATGGCAAATTTAGGTAAACTCTTAAAATAGCTCATGATAAGCCATTTTAAAATATATGAGTAATTAATAAATTTTAAAAAGGGCACATTTAGTCAATGATATTTTATGGTTGATGCGGCTCACCAAGTTTTATTATATTCGGTTTCATCACCCCCCTTTTCATAATATCGAGTATATTAGTATATTAATTAATTTATACTTTTATTTTATTAATATTATAATTAATATTATTATTGATATTATTATTATTTATTATTAATATATTAAATTAAATTATATAAAAAAATATAATGTTTATATACTTTTCCTTTGCATATATAATCCATCCTTTATATATCCTTGAACCCCAATTTGCTATCTTTTGTGTGGTCTCACAATAATGTTACATAGAACCCCTCCAGTGTCCATATGGTCCTCGTTGAGAACCTCTGCTATAGAGGGTTAATATCGCACAAAATACGGTTGAAGCTTGTATAAACCTGAAAACTTTTTGGTTTTTAAAAATATTATAACCTACGAATTTATAACATCAGACTTAAGTATGATAGTGACTAATGTTTATTTACAGACGCAAGCAAAAGACTGAGAAATATTTTCCCATAGATTCAAGCAAAAGACGAGAAATATTTTGCTATTGATTCAAGCGAAAGAACGAGAAATGTTTACCTATAGATTCAAGCAAAATACCCAGAAATGTTTACCTATAGATTCAGGCATTAACTCAACCAGTATTTACGCATGAAGTCAAATATCAAAAGGCCTACAATTTATCTGTAGACCAAAGTATAATCCCGACGAAATTTTACGTATAGACTCAAGTATAATTCCAACGAATTTTAATTATAGGCTCAAGAATAATATCAAACAATGTTTACAACTATAAATATGAGACATTTTTACCAGTAAGTATAAAATCAAACAATTTTTGCTGACATCCCCTAGTATGAATATCACCTATGTTTTTCAAGAGATGCAAGTATGAACCCAAACCTAGCTTACCTATAAAATCAAGTATACATAAAACAGATGTATACCTACTGAATACTCAAGTACAATCTTGACTAATGTTTAATTAGCAGGCCTAGAATTTTCACCGGTCGTTTGTTCCTGGAGGTAGTTTCTGTACCTTCTACGTCTATTGGGATTTAGACCTCATGGCACTCGTATATATAATCCTTCGCGAAAAATACTGGAAACATAGTCGGTTCTCTGTACTTCTCCAGTAAGTAGCTGATTCTTCCCGCTTTCCTCTACCTTTATTAGAGCCCAGATCAGGCCTCAAATGGTCGACTTCTGTCATATACGAGCAAGGGCTTCTCAATCATCACTTTCTATTCTAGATAGAGTTCAAACGCGTCTTTGTGTCCTTGTGGGTGATGAACTATTTTCCGTCCTAGATTCCCATTTCCAGAAACGAACCGTCGCTACTCTATTGCTATTTCCATGGAAATCTTTAAGACAAATTATATTCTTTTGATCCAACAGTTCTTTTTTGGGATGTTTGGGTACCCTGGTGTACTAGTGAGCCAACCAAAATGAGCTGACTCATTTTATAGTTCACCAATGGACGGGTTAACCAATCAGAAGGCTCAAAATATTCAATGTGACGTGTATAAAGGTGGCCATGTTTTTTTTTTCCGAATATGCAGTGCCAGCCTTTGATATCGAAGACTGAAGAATTACGGAACAGCTGCTGGTGGTATTGGCGATATAGTCAGATTCAGTAGAGTGTCTGACTCGTGAGTGTTAATCTTTAACGTTGTTTCATTGAACAGATTACGTACTGCGCTGTGTTCTATATTTATAGACTATGGTGAATATGGTCAACATTGTTCTAACCTTCGCGGCTAAAAGCTGCCATATCGCGCACATTGTAGCATACCACCCTCATTCATTTTGTATTCCATTAGTAAGATGTCAGTTCAACCGGGCATCTTCTTTCCACAAAATTTTGCTTTTCGAACCGACAACGTAGAGGATGCTTCCCCGATCACTACAAACTTAAACTGTTCAAGTCTGGGGTTAAACATTATTGTTCCTATTTAGCCCTATAAACAGTGCGTCTTAATATGTGTCTGCCTGTTGAACCTTCACAGAATGAACACAAACATTTTTTTCTATAGATTCTATATTCGAATTTACATACAGTCTCAATCATAATATCAAACAACTTCCCATATATTCTTCAGTATGATTTTTCTAATGCCCGTTTGTAGGACAGACTTTGTAAATCACACATACAACAATAGTAACGTCTTCGAACAATACTCGGTCAGACACCGCTAATGTCAATGTATTGATTTTTCCTTTAACCCGTCACTTGATCTATTTCAAGATGAGGTCGACTGTGCATGCTCTCTTACCATCCGTGTTCAAACCCAAACGTCCGCAGCGACACTTTATTCCTATATGACAATGATATTGGCCAATGTTTACCTACAGTTTTGAGAATTATAAAAAAAAAACAGACTTCGACATTATATAAACCAAACACGCATCGATATATCTTAAAATCCACCAATCACTAACCCTAAATTCACTATAATGTTCTTTAAAACAGCAAATCATTTAACGCTTAGGTACACAGGTTTTACTGTTATGAGAGCTATTATATGACAAGGTGAACAAAGACCTACCATTTTCAGCATGACTACTATCTCTATATCCTTATATAATTGTTCCAAATCAGCATTATCTTTAAAACTGCTGATGTTAGGGAGAACAATTTCATGAATCCATACAAAAACTAAGTTAGGTGATCGATAAGCTGAGAAATTGTAGAAATTAAAAAACGATGAGAAAATTGATCAGCAGGAATCAATTCAAATAGATTGAAGATCGGAGAGGAGATCGGTCGGAATTTTGTGGGAAATAAAAAGAGAAGGAAGAAATCATGAATTTGCTCAAAGATGGCAAAAAGGTAGTGGAATCAACTCGCACCTAAGAGGCTTAATAAAGCCAAGTTTATGGAATGGATATTTGCACAACACAAAACAATTTTTTTTTTAATATTATATGAAGCAAAAGTCATCGAGAGAGAGAGAGAGAGAGAGAGAGAGAGAGAGAGGAGAGAGAGAGCAGCAGCTCATCCGTCTGGAGTAGTCGTTCTCTCTTAGTGTTTATTTTCATTAGAAATTGTGAATGTTCACCGATTTTATTATTATTATTATTATTATTATTATTATTATTATTATTATTATTATTATTCTACTATCCATATATAATCGTTCCAAATAGGCATTATCTTTCAAGATGTTGATGTTAGCGACAACTATTTCAGAAATTCATACAGGAACTTAGTCAGATGATCGATTTTCCGAAAAGTTGTAGAAAGAAAACAATGACGAGTAATTTGGTCAGCAGAAATCGATTCGAACAGATTGAGGATCGTAGAAGACATCGGTCCGAACATTGTGGAAAATAACAAGAGAATAGAAGAAATTGATGAGTATTTAGTATTAGGGATGTTTCTATTGAAGAATTCAGACAAAATGAAGGACAGATTGAAGAGCGATCGAAACCTGATAAAAAAAAAATGGAGACCAAAAAGAAAAGTGATACTACAAACCCAGTGTGTAATATTAAGATTTTCTTTTTCCACATATTCTGGTGTAAACAAAAG